TGCGGGGATGGCCTGGCAAGCGAGCCACTCAGAACGGCGCGCATGGGAAGGAGAAGGATAGCGCTTGAGCAGTAGGCTGGTCGGACGCTTGTATTCGCCTATCTTTAAACGTTAATATCTCGTTAAATATTGCGTCAACTGCAAAATGGTACAAAACTGTTTTGTTCCCCTTGATCCAATCTACGTCCCCATTGTGTTTCGATCCGTTTTTTTGAGACCCTGTATATATACACACACACACGCTCCAGGCCAAAGGTTTGGATACACTTAACAAAAACGTGATAAATTGTTATAGAAAAATATTTTATTAGAATTTGTAGAAGACTCAGGCATATATGCATTTTCTAAATACCTAATGAACGCGATAAGTATAAAAGAAAATACTATAGAAGCGAAAAATTCCGTTTAAGCATATTTTAATGCTACTCAGAGCAGTGTATCCAAACTTTTGGCCTGGAGTGTACATATATATTGTTATGCCCGTGCCGTACCGACATCCATGATGTGCCGAAGATCAGCCGGCATTAAGCCGGTCAGCTGTCAAACGAGCTCGTCAGATTTTGTGGTAGAGCCGTTGCCGTGCTCGGACGTGCTTTTCCCTCTGGAATTCTATAACTCGTTAAGTAATTGTTATGAGTTCATAACGGCAGTTGCGCAGCTTTTTTACATAAAATATCTGCGCGACAGTCATGAGCACATAACGATTGCATAATCGTTAAACGAGTTACAGAATCCCGCTACTGAGCCTTTATCTTATCGTATTCGCCTCGGTATTCGCTGTTCTATGTTTGGTGTTGCCTGTGTTTCAAAATAAAGAGTTCCTTTTTCTGTTACTGACCCTGAGTCCTTTTATTTCTGTGGCTCGGAAGTACGTGTACGCGTTTGCGAGTGCAATTTCGCGAATCGGTCGCACGGGCGCAACAATATATTATATTGCAATAATATATAGAGTGTCCTGTAATTGTTGGCAAAGCTTTTATGTAGATAGGGCGAACTAAACTGATTGTGAGTCGAAAAGTTCTCTACCATTTTGCAATTTTCGAAATGGTTAACGAGATAGTAATTTAAAATGTATGAAAATAGCCAAATTTATCCGGCCTACCGCCAAATGCAAGCGCACGGCGAAATAAGATCGCCCAGAGAGATGCACATACTTCGTCGCTAGGCACGTTGTTTATAAGCGAAATTTTCTCGGTCCATAAGGCTAGATCCACAACCTTGCTTTAAGAGCCCTAAGCCGTAAGTCCGGATCTACAATAGGTGTTTTAAGCCTCAAGCCGTAAGAAATTGACCAATTATCCCGGATCTACAATAGAGTTTTAAGCCTTAAGGCATAAGAAATGGATGAATCATAGTCGATTATTCTCCTCGAATTCGACTGTAAGCCCAGATCTACAATAGGTGTTTTAAGCCTTAAGTTGTAAGAAATTGACCAATTACAGTCAAATCCGAGGGGAATAATCGATTGTGATTCGCCCATTTCTTATGGCTTAAGGCTTAAAACCCTACTGTAGATCCGGGGTAATTGGTCAATTTCTTACTGCTTAAGTCTTAAAACACCTATTGTAGATCCGGACTTACAGTCGAATTCGAAGAGAATAATCGACTATGATTCGTCCATTTCTTATGGCTTAAAGCTTAAAACTCTATTGTAGATCCGAGGTAAAGCCGTAAGAAATTAACCAACCACAATCGATTATTTTTCTCATATTCAACTGTGATTGGTCAATTTCTTACGGCTTACGGCCTCTTAAGGCTAAGTCCATAACCTTGCTTTACCCCGGATCTACAATAGGTGTTTTAAGCCTTAAGCCGTAAGAAATTAACCAACCACAATCGATTATTTTTCTCATATTCAACTGTGATTGGTCAATTTTCTACGACTTAAGATCCTACGACTTCTTTTGTAGACCCCGCATTAGACTTAAGCGAATTGAGTGAAACTCAATTCTTACGACTTAAAAGCATAAAGCCTGATTTATAATGGCCGTAACCGTTAACTTATGCCGAAGCCGGTAAAGTTCAACCATAGGATTTCAACGCTTTCGTTCATACTAATACGGCAAGTTAGTATGAACGAAAGCATTGAAATCCTATGGTTGAACTTTACCGGCACCGGCATAAGTTAACGGTTACGGCCATTATAAATCAGGCTTAATTCTGTGGCCGATATATCGTCACTTACAACTTAAGTCCGGATCTACAATAGGTGTTTTAAGCCTTAAGAATTTGACCGAATTACAGTCGAATTCGAAGAGAATAATCGACTATGATTGGTCGATTTCTTATGGCTTAAGGCTTAGAATTCTATTGTAGATCCGGGGTAAAACTTACGGCTTACGGTCTCTTAAAACAAGGTTAAGGGCCGTCTACAATGAGCAGTAACAGTGTGGTAAGGTTGTAAGACACCCTTACCTTAACCTGACTAAGCTGATTTTCCGATATAATAGAACATAGAATAAGTCCGTAACTCAATCCGTAAGACTTAAGCCGTAAGAAACTGATAAATTACAGTCCGTAAGTCAATAGTTCGACTACAGAACTTATTCTTTAAGGGGTAACACTTATGTAAAATTTTCAAAAAATTGATTTTTTTTCTTTTAAAATACACTTTAGGGTCTCAAAAATGAAGTGCAAGTGGTTTTATTGCGATACATAATTTTTTTCGAAAGTTATAGGCTCCTAAAAATTCAATTGTTAACTTAAAAGTATTCACGTTCAAAACTTTA